CCTTATCTATCAGATATCTTGGCAAAGTGAAGGGGTAGTGAAAAAGTGGAAGGCCCTCAATGAGTGGCTGCTACAATGGGATCAGGCCTAGCAACAATTGTGAGGATGTTGCAGGACAAGGCAGTGTTTCATTCTCTTGGGCATAGGACCCCTATGGCTCAGAACAGACCCAGTGCTCCCTAACAACAACATTTTTTGTTAGCGAGTGTGTTAGTCTGGGTAGACTAGAGAAACAAATTCATAAAGATTCATATGTATATAAGGGAGAGGTTTATATACAAGAGCAATTTTACATTAAGAAAACATCCCAACCCAGTTCAGTCCAAGGCCATAAGTCTGATATTAGCTCATATGTCTGATACCAATCTATAAAGTTCTCTTCAGACTCACTAAACACATGCAATGAAGCCAAATGCAGGATGGTCACAAGCCAGTGGGCAGAAAGCAGTGGTGTTGTAAGCATCTCAGTGCTGGCAGGCATCTCTCTGTGGCTTCTCTGGCTTCTGAGGTCTGGTTGCGTCCATGTGGCTTGTCTTCTGCAATGTCTCCCAGGGAGTGGCAGAGAGAGAGGTGTCTGCTGCCTCCAAGGAAAAAGTATCGTATTTCCCAGAATTCTCAGGAGAAGGCCATGCCCACACAAAAGTCTCATTGGCTTCTTACTTCTTACTCAAAATAAAGTCTATCTCTACAGAGAAAACCTGGTTTCCTCACAAATACAATTTTAAAAGGGTTCCATGAGATCCACTAAAACTTTACTTATCTAAGTTTACTCAATCATATATCTCTGTATTGATTCCACTAGAGATGAGAAAGAAATATTTCTAAATATTCTAAAATATTCCTTGTAACTAACGAGGAAAGTAAAAACTCCTGTACACTTTTAGCAATATGTCACTAGAAGGAATAAAAGAAAATAATGTTTCAGAAATGGCATTTTCATCAATTTTTCATTTGGTTACATTATTAAGACAAATAAAAGCTACTGATAGATAATATGAAAAAGATAAACCAAGAAAACTTCTGTGAAAAGTGATAAAAATATGTGTGCAAGGAATGACAATCTTATAAATAATGACAACAAATATAGCACAATGATTTGATTCTACTTAATTCTTTTGTGCTCTAATAAAGCTTTATTATTTTAGAAATAGTGTTATTGAGATATTATTAACATCAAACAATTCAAAAGCGCAATCCTATTGAGAAGAGTTGTGAAATTGCACCAAAATCAACTTTAGAACATTTTCACCTTTTTGTACTCGCTGTTGTTGACTCCCCATTTCCC